GAGATCTGGGCGTGTCTGCCGTACAGGGAGCCGATGATGGGCGTAAAGATGTTGCCGGTGAGGCCATTGTCGAGGGCGTAGACGAACATGGTGCACCAGATGAGGATGCCGAGCAGCCAGAGCAGCGCCTTGCCACGCTTGTGAGAACGCAAGAGGCGGGTCAAGGCTTCGGCACGAGCCACACCTTGCGCGCCCTCTTCGGCCACAATCTCTCCGCGGGCATCGCGACTGTGCACGGAGCCATCATCGTCGCTGTGACTGCCGGCAGACTTGGAGGGCGTGTGGTGATGGTGGTGATGATGGTGATGATGCTGCTTTGATGCTTCGTTGTAGTCGTAGCTCGGCGCATTGGCCTCAATCTCCGCTACAGGAGCGCGAGGCTCTTGCTGCGACATGATGATGGAGCGCCAGGGAAGGGGAAGGGGAAGGGAAAGGGGAAGGAGATGCGGGTGTGACATGGAGGATGGGGCAGGGCAGTCACAGTCACGAATGGAAATCACGAATGAATCGACGTGCACCAACATCTGCCATCGAGACAGACGAGTTGGAGTGGGAGTCACAGTATTTATGGACTTTTGTTGAAGCGCACCATTTGTGTCGCTGATTGCACGCACGCATCACTGTTCGCAGCCCCGCCGTGGCGATCGAGCGATGAACATGCGCAAGAAAAACCTTTTGCACCGCAAAGGCAAAGGCAATCCAATCAATCACCAAATGTGAATGTGAATGTGAATGTGAATGTGCATCGGCAAGGGGACGATGCGCGGTGCGCGGTGCGCGCGCTATCTGATCTTGGAAGATTTGCCGTTGCTGCTGCTGCTGCTGCTGCTGCTGCTGCTCCATGCACCTGCCCTGACTGCGCACGGCCTGCTCTTATCGTTCAGCGATATTCGTGGAGATGGACGCAGGACCAGCAATTTGGATGGACGCGAGACCGAGACTAGCGTGCGTCTCTCTCGCAGGCGTGTGTGCCTGTGTACCTGTGTACCTGTGTGCCTGCTGCTGCTGCTGCAGGCGCGCGTGCCTTTTGCATTTGACCTCGTGGAGCGCGCAGCCGCGGGTGGTGATTGATGGAGTAGCCTCTTCCATCAGATACCGCCAAGCAGCCAAAGCAAGTTTTGGCTCAGAGTAGGTGGTGCGTGCGGGCGTGCGGGCGTGCGGGCGTGCACGCGAGCGCGGGAGAAGCAGAGGCTACAGAGACCCCGCGAGTCACCAATGCTCATGCGCTTCCCCGGAGCAGCAGCAACGGAGTGCGAAATCAAGACTCAAACTGACGAACTGCAAAGACAATCGCAACTCACTCACACTCACGACTCAGACTGTTCACCCGCTCCGCCAATCAGTCGGCGAATTGGGCGGACAGTGACGCTGAGAGGCAGACACTCGTGACTGGTTGGTGACCCGCCGAGTGTTTCTACTCGTGACTGTGTGCATTCACAAGAGTCGTGAGTGCATTCACAAGAGTGTCGCCGGCCGGCCTGACCACTCACACTCGCAATCTGAATCAAAACATGATGCGTTGGGCTGTACCAGTGAGTCTTGCTCGGATCTCTTCGGCCACGCGTGGTGACGTGATGCGAATGCGGACAGCTCGCTCGCCTGAACATCTTGCAGCCATGAGCTAGCTGACCCAAGCCAAACAAACGCACATCTCCGTCTTGGCTTGCATGGCTTTTCTTCTTTCGTCCCGCCTTGCCTCGCCTCGCTGATGCACCGCACCTCCGCTTTGACTGACCTTTGGCCCGCGCATGCAGCGGTCAGCGCTGCCTCTTCCATGTGGGTCATTGTGGTCGGTGCGGTGCTGCTGCTGCTGCTGTTCTGCCGCCTCGCACCGAATATGCATGCATTCATGCAAGCAGGTCTGCGTTTGCTTGGCATTCACGTGATTCATTCAGATTAGTCTTGCATCTTGCGTCTCGAGTCATTGAGTCTTGTTGCTTGCTCGCTCGCGCACCCTCCCTCCATCCTTGCCATCACAAGCATCGCTCACAGGCCCGCCCCGCGCATCATCCACCCACCTTTCCGGTTTGTTTGCTACCATCGCCTCCCCGCTTGCTGTGCTCGAGCGCGTCGCGGACCACGCGAAGCGTTGATGCATTGAACCTTGAAGCATATCAACGTCATCATTCACACGCCTGGCTCACCTTGATCACCATGTCGACCACCGCGACGCTGCAAAGCGTCTTTACCGTCGCCCAGCAGCAGCAGCAGCAACAGCAGCAGCAGCGGCAGACTAGCCGGGTGGACGATGGTCACCAGACGTTCCAGCCCGTCAACTCATCGTCCGCGCTCTCACACCCGCTCGCTCTTCCCAAGCTGTCCCATCGCCTGGTAGAGACGCTTCGACGCTACGCACCGCTCGGCTTCACTGCGTTTGGTGGGCCTGGCGTGCACGTGGTCATCCTGCGCAAGCTGTTTGTTGAGGATGTAAAGTGGGTGGACCACACGTGTTTTACGGATCTGTTTGCCCTGGGCAATGCCCTACCCGGCCCCGGCTCCACCCAGCTGGCATTCTCCATCGCCGTCGTGCGCGGTGGCTCGTTGTGCGGTCTGCTGGCCTTCTTGCTGTGGAGGTGAGCGAGCGAGCGAGCGAGCGTGATTGCGGTGGATCATTGGTGCCTCACGCCCGTTCAGACCGCATGACTGACCCAGCTAGCGGCACCGCAACGCAACGCACCGCACCGCACGCACCCACGACGACCATGCAGCTTGCCCGGAGCCATTGGGATGACGGCGTTGGCTGCTGGGGTGCGCAATCTGCCAGATCGATTGCCCGCCATCCTGCTGGCCTTTTTGACCGGCCTGAACGCAGCTGCAGTCGGTCTCATCGCCTTGGCAGCTTGGCAGTTGGCTCAAACCGCCATCACCAATCTGCCGTCCAGGCTCATTGTCTTGACGAGTGCATCGGCCGGCATCTGCTACCACGCGCCGTGGATGTACCCCGTGCTGATCGCTCTCGGCGGGCTGGCTAGTCTGGCAACGGACTACGCTCCCCGCGGCATTCGAACCGCCCGACGCAAGTGGGCTAGCCGCAGGCCTCGTTGTCAAGACTCCATCTCGGCCCCTGATGCGTCGACCGCGGCCCAGGTCTCTGGAGCGGACATGGAGCTGCAAGGCACGTCGCTGCACTCCATTACGCAGACCTCCGCACCTCCCGAGCTGAGACAGCGTCAACGCATCCACGGCGCTGATCATCCTCCTGCTCTGCGGTCTGAGAACAGCAGCGTTGGCACAGGCACAGGCACAGGCACAGGCACAGGCACTGGCACTGCACAATGGTCAGGGACCGATCCGCCGCCCTTGCGACCCATCTTGGTGCCAAGCAAGAGGCTCGCATTCAGCATTGGAAGCGTCTTTGCGTGCTCCCTCATCGTCGTGCTCGTGCTTCGCTCCCAGCTGCGAGAAAAAGGAGTCGACGGCGCTTCGGCTCCGCGCGAGCTCGATTTGGTAGCCAACATGGCTGTTGCTGGTTCCATCATCTTTGGCGGTGGACCTGTCGTCATCCCTTTGCTTCGCGGCTACATCGTGGATCCCGGCTGGGTGACCTCACGTGACTTTCTCTTCGGTTTTGCCATCCTGCAGGCGTTTCCCGGTCCCAACTTCAACATTGCTGCCTACCTCGGCTTTCTTGCGGTCCCTTCCAGGCCCCTCTTGGGTGCAATCCTGGCCTGGGCAGCCATCTTCGCACCTGGCATCATGCTCAAGCTCGCTCTGCTCCCCCTGTACAAGAGCTGGCGCAGTCTGAATCCTGTGCGCAGCTTGCTTCGCGGACTCAACGCTGCAGCTACAGGCCTCGTGTTCACAGCCGTCTGGCAGCTCTTTTTAGGTGAGCGTGCTCCTCCATTCCGGCTACGGCGTGAGCCCAGTCTGCTGACACACACCCTTTGCACACCGATCCAGTCGGCTACATCTACCAGCCGGCTGCAGAGCCGGCCTCGCAAGGCGATCCCGCTGCTACCAGCGCATCTGCTCCCCTGACATCAGATCCGTGGTGGGGAGTGGTTGCCGCATTTGCATTCGTCCTCACGCAGTGGTGCAGTTGCCCGCCAGCCTTTTCAATCTTGCTTGGTGGAGCCGCTGGTCTTGCGTGGCACGGCGTGCGTGCGACGTGAAGCGGAGCGCGCGAGTCGCACTCCGGCAAGTCGCACAAGATGCTCTAACGGTGCTACGGCCGTCCATTTGGTTGTCATCTGCGCGCACTTACATGACGTTGTAAGGGGCAGCAGAGGTCAAGCTTGACTTTAAATTGCTCAGCTGGTAGCACGTTGCTCCCACAATGTCAGCAAAGGGCACTCGGCGATCAGGTCCTACCAACGGCTAATCGGCCAAGGACAGGTCGTCGGTCTGACCGCAGGGTCGGACCCAGGGTGGAAAAGTTTTGCGGCTCGTAATTTGACACCTCTAGTCCCTTGGTCGTACGAACGGCGGTCATCGTCGACGTCGTCTCAGCTTTGCTTGGCACGGCTTCCCGTCGCGGTCTACAGACGCACCAAGTCTCAATGGGCGGTGCACCACCTCATGCGCAAGCACATCGGCAGGTGCACCCATCGGGTACCCTCCGACTCCGCAGCCTTCTAATCGCTAGCGATGAAACCCGGTCGTGACGTTTGATGTGCATTCGTGTCCGGTCTGCGTCCGCACGGACCTACCAGGAAGAGAATGATGAGTCAGCTTCGAGATCCGACAGAGGCCTCGGAGATCCAAATACACCACACCTGCGCGCACGCGGTCAAATCACGGATAGCAGGACTCGTTTCATTGCGATGATACTTTGCAGAGGATGCGCGTTCAAGCTGTCCTCTATGAACTCGATCAAACGCATTCATTGCTGCAGGAACAGGTGGTGATGGGGAGCGTGCAGCCCTAGACAGCTTGGGCGATTTGTGCGAGTCATGAATGCAGCATCGCGCTGGCATCGCTTCAAAGATGATGGCCAACTGAGACCCAATTCGATGCGCAGTTGCTGAATGCCGACGAAGCAAGGTACTTTTCCTCCAATCAATTGTCTCATCGAACGCAGCACGTCCACCCATTCCCTTCTGCTCCGCGTAGAAAAACGCACTCATCTCCGAGCTTCCGCTGACCACGTCTTTTGGTCGGTCAACAGAGAAGCCCTGAAAAGCTTCAGCAAACAATTTCACATCAAGCTGTGGCAAGAGATCAGTGACTGGAGTGCACTCGGTCTGTCGCGTCAGGCTCTGCACTGTTCTGAAATACGTCACAATCCGCGACTGCGATGCAATGAAGACATGACGGGAGAGTTTGCAGCGAGATCGCCTGCACTTTGAAGGTCGAGGCGCGCATTGGGCATGCGCTTCATGCTTGTGCAGTGAGTTCAGTCACATCTGGTTGCTTCGTCTCCCCCGCAGCAGTCACGCTTTGCACTTTCCGATTGACCGACAGTCTGGGAAATGGTGGCGGAGGAATATCAACATACAGCTTTGTTGAAGTGCCAAACCGTGATGCACTCACCGAAGGAGATCGGGGCGACTGTAGTGGCCGACGCAATCAGCAAGCAGCTTGGTCGCGTTTGACATCGAGTAGTCGATTTCGGCGTAGAGGATGCCCTCCTGTGCGCATGGCAGCGGAGTGGTCAATTCGCGCCCATCCGGCGCAAAGATGGCAGCGCTGCATGAGGTCGGATGACCGCGTCTCAATCAGCATGTCTCGCCCGCTCTGAGGTCGCACCATGTTCGACTCACCAGCCTCCACCAGGCGGAAGGAAGAAATCATGATCGGAGGGTCCATTGGGTCGGTAGTCGAGACCGACTGCCTGGGCATTCTCCTCGGTGACCAGCTGCGTCGTCATCACGGTGAAAGAGCCACCTTCGATGGCGTACACGGACGACAGAGCCTTGACACCGTCGCTGGTCATCGAGTATGGCTCGCCTCCCTTGAGCGGGAAGCAGCCAGGCCATGAAGCGACGTGGATGTGTTCGTGCAGCGAGTATGTGTGGTACTTGAGCAGGGGCTGGATGTGTTCCCAGCACTGCAGATTGCCCACGCGCCCAAAAGGAGTGGTGACGACATTGTCGAGCGCATCACCTGACGCTTCGCCGAACAAGACCCTCTCGAGCCCAGTCGGCTTGATCTTGCGTCGGATATTGACAATGTTTCCCTGAAGAGAAGTTCAAAGAATGGACCTGAGCAATGCAATGGAGAGAACCGCCACGAAGGGAGACTCACCTCGCTGTTGATGATGCAATTCGACATGTACATTGATCCGTTTCTTCTCTCGGCAAAACCAAATGATGTCCAGATGGAGTTGGCAGCACAGGCATCCTTGATCAGCTGGATCTCGGGCGATTCGGCTGTCAGCGCATGGGCAGCGTACTTGATGCTGAAAGGCATCGACGACCCAAAGTCCTTGACCCAGAGAAAGTGAGGGTAGCCTGGAATCCAGAGCTCGGGAGAAGCGATGAGCTTGGCGCCACTGGATGCTGCTTCTTTGATCAGCGTACACGTCTTCTCAGCTGTGGCCCTGGCATTGAGCCAGACAGGCTCAGCCTGGACGGCAGCGACCTTGAAAGGGGGCACGTTTGGGACAGCCATCGCGTGTCAGCACAGAAGAGGATAATGGAGCAATGGAAGCGGGGCATTTCAGTCACTTTGGTCGGTACCTCTTCTTGTACCCCTACACGGTCATTCTTATCGTGCTGCGCCGTGCGAACGCGTCCAGAAGAGATAAGGACCGAGTAGGCGAGAAGGGAGTGGCGACGTGCGGTGCGGTGCATCACTCGACAAATGGAGAAGAAGCAAGCTGCGTGGCATCTGATCAGGTGCGGAGTCCATTTTGTGCCAACAGCCATATCGGTTTCTCCGATTCTTGCCTACTGCTCTGGTGGCTGTTCCTGAGCCACGTCAGAATTCGACCGCCGCGCTTGTCTGGGATAACCACCCCGCAGAAAGAGTCCCGGTCCGAAGAAGATTGCCGCTCGGGTGAAAGCTTGCCTGTGCTCAGCGCGGCGTGGCTGCACGGGGTGCGCTCGGATAAACGCAGGAGGGCAAACCAGCTGGTTTGTCCGAGACAGAACTTGGCATGCAAGATAAGGAGACGAGCGCTATGCTTGTGAGACCTGGAGTCGATGCAGGCCTCCCTTTCTTGCGATGCAGTCGTCCTGGCTGGCGATCCATCCGTCTCTCTTACGCTCCTCGCAGGGTGGATAGAGGCTTGCCAGAGGCTTTGCTCTGTGCAAGATGCATTCATTCGACTAAGCATCACTACAGCTCGATGCGCGGCAGCTACATGCGTGAGATATGGGCGCGCGCACCCATCACTCGGTTCAAAGTCCTGCTTCACCGCCACAAAAAGCAGATGCGACATGCTCGAAGCAGCTGTACTCTCCCACCTGCAATGTCTACGAATGCAGCCCAGGCAGCTGCTGGACCAGCATGTACCTCCCTCATCTGCCCACTGTGCTCGATTCGGCGCGAGCGCAAAGGCCCTTATCATCGCGATTACAGAGAGGGACACTTGTCACCTCAAGCTGCACCACGACGTGTTTGATGAAGTTGTCAAACGCCTCATGTTGCCGAAAAGTCGAAAATCTTCCCAACGCATCATGTTCAAAGTGACGCACAGAGCGGTACGGATGATCGCTTGTTGATCGCATATTGGCTATGCAAAGCAACCTACACGGCGGATAGAAGAGGGTGGCTTCGAAGCTTGATGGGCCAGCGCAGAGAGGAAGAGTGTTGGGTAATCAACGTATCGCGAGATGCTTTTTTCGTCTTCGGAGGATCGTCTTGTGATTGGATGTGTACCGTGCTCCTTTGCTTAATGGACCCAATGTCAAGCTACGTAGGGCGCACGTCGATTGTGAAGCTTGTGCGATCGAGCAGTGGCGCATACTGATCCCTTTCAAGGGCGAGATGCTGGCCTTAGATGATGCAGGCGAGTCTTTGAAGCAAGCAAAACTGCACGGTATTCAGCCTCTGCAATGTTTGCTCTGGCCAGGTCTGGTCCAACACTTTGCCCAACGAGAGGCACTTTGCCTCGAAATGCTACACCTGGTCCTCGAGACGGATACAAATTTCCCTCTGCGGTGCGATGAAGGCAAGGAGGTTGGTTTCTACGACTGTGTGTTGATGTCTGTTGTCAACATGGACAACCTCGAGGCCCAGTAAAGTCACGCATTTGGCCTGGTCTGCGATGCTCTTGTTGGAGGTGCAGGGCAAGGAGCATAGCACTCATCTCAACATCTTTCCTTGCCTCTTGGCACACGCGCATGGCCCGGACAACACTATCTCGGTCCGCGAGATGCGCGTCTCTAGCCTTTAACTTGAGCAGCAGCGGTACGAGTCTATCAACTGCCACGGCGACTCGGCTCTGCACATGACTTTGAGTATGATTACACAATTACCATCGAGGCTTGATCACATTTTTGTGGGGTGTCAGGCTACATTGCAAACTGTTAGCCGGGGCGCTGATGTGATCCACTTGTCAAGTCAGAGGTAAAAGCCTATCGATATGGGCCAAGACTTTCACGGCGTAAAAGCGGAGGCGCAAACAGGCTGCCCGCCAAAGGACGCTCCATCTGAGCAGCAGCCTTGCGCTTCACCTTTCCACGGCTTTGCGCAACCCATTGGCTGCCGGTCTCCTCTCCTCTTTAGCTCCTTGGCTGCAGCCTCCTTTGCCTGCTTCACCGCCTGCCTTCCCCACGCTTTCCCCCCGCTTCCTTTTGGTGAAGGATCTTGTCCGGCCAAGAGACGCAGTCTGAGTATTTGCATCCCCGCGCACGCATTGTTGGTGTTCTGAATGCCGCGGCGGTTGCGGAAATCGCACCGCTCTGCGGGCTTTGGTAACGCAGACTGCTCTGATGCCCTGCGGGCGGGCAAGCAGTGCCCAGCTGCCGGTTTGGGTTGCGGGGATCACACCGCTCTGGCGCCCTGCGGGTTCTCGAGTCCCGCAAAGTGCTTTCGCGCCCTGGGGGTTCAAGTCCCGCAGAGTGTTCTAGTGCCTGGCGGGATCGGGCGGATCGCGCAGAGTACTCTGATGCCGTGGGGTTTTTCGGTAGCGCAGTGTGCTCTGGTGCCCTCCAGGAATGCTCGCGCAGGCGCTGCGGGCTCAAGTCCCGCAGAGTGCTCTGGTGCCCTGCGGAATTGAACGCGCAGGCGCTGCGGGCTCAAGTCCCGCAGAGTGCTCTGGTGCCAGTAGCGCAGAGTGCTCTGGTGCAGTGCGGAATTGAACGCGCAGGCGCTGCGCGCTCAAGTCCCGCAGAGTGCTCTGGTGCCAGTAGCGCAGAGTGCTCTGGTGCCTTGGGGATTTGGTCGCGCAGGCGCTGCGTGTCTGGTGTGACGCAGACTGTTATAGTGCCAGTAGCGCAGAGTGCTTTGCTGCCCTGCGAGCTTCGTCGCGCAGGCGGTGCGTGTTGAGTAGCGCAGAGTGCTCTGATGCCCTGCGGTTTCACGAGTCCCGCAGAGTGTTCTCGCGCCCTGCGGATTCGTGATTGCGCTGAGCGCTCTGATGCCCTGCACTACTGGATGGTGCAGCACACACAGCTCTCGCGCCTTGCGCTACTGCTGCACTGACCATATGCCGTCAAAAGTGCTGATTCCGCGCAACACCGCGCCACCCGCCGGCAGTGCGGGATGCTAGATCTGCGCAGCTGTCACTCACGCCGCACGACGCACGACGCACGACGCACGACTCTGCAGAATACTCGGACGACTGTCAAGTCATCCCTCTCCGCCTCGCAACCATGCAGCTCCTTGATGGCGGAGGCCATTGCGCGCGCGGATCACAGTCAAGAGTGCATTCATTGCCCTTGTCACAAATCTTTGCTCCCCGCCGCGCAAGAAAGCGATTGAGCGAAATTCTCAAGGCAAAGGCGCGCGTGCGAGCGTCTACGGTGAGCTGTGCACGATGGAGTGTGTTTGAACCGCGCTCGCAGGGCGCGATCGTACGAGCGTGACGGCAGAGGCGATAACAACGCGAGTGCATGGACGGCGTAACACCGGCGGCGACGCTCACGTCCTCATCATCGCACGAGGGGAGCAGCGGCAGCGGCGACGGACGTTCAAAGCGAGTGCGCGCAACGGCGGCGACACTCACGTCCTCACATTGAATGCGCGCGGTGGCGACGACGCCTTCACATCGAGTGCGTGCAGCACCGTAGACGTCGTCATTGCACGAGCGGCGCGCCGGCAACGGCGGCAACCATGTCTTCACATCGAGTGCGCGCAACGGCGGCGGCGACGCTCCCATCTGCACATCGAGGTTGTGCGCGCTTGACAGCGGACTGCGCGGTTGATGACGACACCATCATCGCGCAAAGAACGCGATTGACGACAGCGACTTTATTGCGAGGGCAACGCCGCATGATTCGGGCGGCGCCGTCAGCACGCGCTCGCACTGACGGCAATGACCCTGGCAACAACAGCATATAATACGCAACAATTTCACACACCCTCACCACAATAACTTTCTCACGCTGCTCACGCCGGCAGACCACCTTGGTCACCGACTTTGAACATCTAAAGTCTCACACATACTTACACGAGTGCGCCCTTTCAATCGCCCGATAGCCCTCACACAAGTGCGGCCCCCTCGATTGCCTGATATTCCTTGCCCTAACCCTCGCCCGTGCCGTCGCCCAAAGGCAATATGCTACCGACGCTCGACTCACTTTTCGGCGTACAGCGCCGCTACTTCTCGGCGATGACCGCTTGGCCGAGTTCGTTGATGCGTGCGCTGGTTTGTTGGCGACCAGGGTAGCGAGTAGCGAGATGAGGCAAGCTCTGCCGGCCGAATGCCACGGTGCGTGCGCGTGGTTACGAGGCGAGCGTCAGCTGGTTGCTTTGTACGCGCGTAGCTTGTCTCAGAAGCGATGATGGATGCGTTGGTGCGTACGATGATGCGAAGATGGCTCGTGGTGACGACGATGGTGTCGGTGCGCGTGATGAGCGCGGCGTGAGGTGTGGGAACAAGGCGAGGCAATGATCGCCAGCGTGGGTGAGTGCAGATGCTTGATGACGCGATGATCGCTCAGCTGAATACGTCGGGGGCGTGCGGATGAATGCGTTAGTGCGCGCACGGCAACGCAACGAAGCAAGGGAGACGGTGCGAGCATCGGTATGTGGTGACGAGGCAGAGCGTGGTGCGTGTTGACGAAGCGAGCGGGGCTGGGTGCCGTTGAACAACTGGTCTTGGGTGATGTCCATCTGCCTTTTTTTTAGGGAGGGTTAGGGTTAGGGTTAGGGTTACATACAGGTTCCCAAAGGGATTGAAAAACAACATGGGCTCAGAAGAAGCAGAAAGATGCCCTGATACTGCTGTTGAAGTTTCAGATGCTACCCTGGGGGTTTTGGTGGAGATATGGGCCAAAGAGTGAAAAATCTCTAGAATTTCCAGGGGTAGCCCCTAGAATCTGCAGGGGCTGCACGTCATCTCTGGATTTTTTCTAGAGATTGCCCCTAGAATTCTGCAGGGACACAGCCCTACCTCTGGTCACGGACGCCCCTTCCAGCGCAAGGGGCAGTCCCTATGGCACTTAGAAGAGGCCCTAGATCCCCCCAGGGACGACTTTTTATCCCTTGCTCATGCAGGGTCA